TGCTCTGGTTTTAGTGTTGGCAACTCTCTAACCTTTGAGCCCAGCTTAGGAACAACCCACGACTTCAGCTGTCATGACGTTTGAAATGAACACGGAGATTACAGGAGCTACGAAAACAAACAGTTTGAGTGATTTCAATTCTGTCATTACTTGTGGAGTTTGGGTGCTGAAAACTTAAACATGGGAAAGTGTTAATCGCAAGTTCATTTGCTACATGCCAGCAAAATGTATACATTTTTAGTTTATACATGAAAGTTTAACTTAATTTTAATAACATCTTTGAAATTAGTTTCTTCTTTTAAAATTATTTTTGTTTTAAATATAAACAACAAATCAAGAAAATAATGACTAAGGCTGCTTTTCTCATAGTTATCACAGAAAACAAATCTGGTGTATCAAGGAGTAGGCATTAGGGCTAGGGATGTGGCTCAAGCGGTAGCGCGCTCGCCTGGCATGTGTGCGGCCCGGGTTCGATCCTCAGCACCACATACCAACAAAGATGTTGTGTCCGCTGAGAACTGAAAAATAAATATTAAAAATTCTCTCTCTCTCTCTCTCTCCTCTCTCTCACTTAAAAAAAAAAGGAGTAGGCATTAAAAATCAACTGTTTAGGGGCTGGGGATGTAGCTCAGTTGGTAGAGTGTTTGCTTCTCATGTACAAAGCCCTGGGTTCAATCCCTAGCACCCCATAAATAAATAAATAAAACCCACTGTTGAGATGTCAATCTGTGGGTATAACACTGGCACTGTGCATAAACTATCTCATGTGATCCCTAAGGCCATCCTGGTCACATCCATTATTTTCCCCATTTAGAGATGAAGGAAACTGAGCTTTGGGGAATTTATTGACTTCCCAGCAAGGGACTGGGACACACCAGGTCCCACCCTCCTGATTACTTGGTGGGTACATATTTAAACCCAGATTTACCCAGCCTCCAAGCCTGGCTCTTCCAGAGAGGACTTCTTACTGGGTCTGACAGTCCAGGTTAAGGATTTGTTTTATAAGAACACTGTAGCTACTTCTTAGGTTGCTTGGCTGAACAATGAGTTACCAGTAAACTTAGTGGGTAAACTGCATGTGTTCTAGGCATGGATTCTGAGCGTTAGGAACAGGGGGACAGGTCTGTCTGTCTTTGCTCCAGGATGTCTGGGGCCTCAGCTGAGAAGATTCGGTGCCCAGCAGCAAGTGACTCCATAGTTTGGGCTGGAGTTACCTAGGGGTGTCCTCACTCACCTGTCAGGTAGTTGGTGCTGGTTCTCAGAAGGGACCTCAGCTCTGCTGTGAGCAGGGCACCGCACGTAGCTCTGCAGGAAGCCTGACATCTTACAAGGTGTCCTGGCTTTCCAAGTCCAGGGTCCCAGCTAGCAAGGGAGAAGCTGCTTCGCCTTTGGTGCCATGGTCCCAGATGACCTTTGCCACATGCTATAAGTTTCCAGAGAATCATGAGCCTGTGCAGACCGGAGGGACACTTCCTGACGGGCTGACCAGGCGAGCTGCTGCGCCATCTTTGTCAGACCCACGTCTGTTCGCCATGTCTGTCTCCTTATCCAGCTGGTCCTGCCTCTCAGTCTCAGCTGTCCCCTGGGCCCTTCCTGGAACTTGCCGCCTGCTTCAGGGCCTGGCCTAGCAGGGCCTGTCAGGCAGTTCCAATCCCAGCAGATTTCAGGGTGCGGTCCCTGGAGAGGCAACAGATAAGGAGACCTTTGATATGCAGGCTGTATGCTGAGTTTTGAAGAGATTACAGGTAACTGTAAGGTCCTTGCTTAGCATCTGGATGGCCATCTTAAGTGATGGGCAAAAGTCTCACTTTCCCACCTAAGGGCGGTTCTGGGAAAGGCTCACCACTCCCTCATACCAGCCCAACCCCTAACCACCCACATTAGGACCCTCAGGGCTCTGATTCCAGAGCCTGCCCCATAAAAGTCCCGGAATCCAAGCCTGTGTTGCCTCTCTCCGCTATAGAGATGGCCTCTATTTGTCAGCTTTGACCAATAAAGTTGTCCTCTCGTTTTCCCTCTGGTAACTGCGGCAGCCACCACCTGGACTGTCAGGGGAAGCATTTATTCAGACCTCGAAATTCAGGCCCTCACATTTGCAAAGTACAGCCATCTCCCTGAAGCACTTCAGAGACAGAGCCACAGTCCCGTGTCACCCCCAGACATCCTTCCCCTCCTTCGGGAAAGCCTGGGCTCTTCTGCTCCCACCTCCAGAGCCCTGTGCTCCGGCCCAAGGAAAGCAGCCAGGATGGAGAGGCCACCGGCCCCACATGGAGAGAGCAGGAGGGACCTACAGGAAGCATTGACTGCAGAAATGCTGGCCCGGTGGGGGAGGCCATGCAGAGGAGTCGGGTCGTCGCTGTGGAAGGGAGAGAAGATCTGAGGTGGGAGTGAGCAGTTACCCTGGCTAGAGGCCCAGGAGAGGGTCTTCCGTGACACACTGAGGACCCTCCTTCAATGTCTGAGCTGAGAAGAGAGGGAGGGAAGGTCCAAGTTCCTCTCTCCCTTTCCTTTTCTTTGATATTAGGGATTGAACCCAGGGGCACTCTACCACATTGTTTGTTTGTTTGCTTGTTTGTTTGTTTGTTTTGAGACAGGGTCTAAGTTGCTTAGGGACTTGCTAAATTGCTGAGGCTGGCCTCATACTTGCAATCCTCCTTCCTCAGCCTCCTGAGTTGCTGGGATTACAGGTGTGCAGAAGCACGTGGTGGCACCTGCTCCCAGCTTTGCTCTTTAATACAATGCCCTCCAGGACTGATCTCTTGGGCTCACGGCTTCATAAACCCTACAAATGGCATTGAGCTTCTATCGAGGGCCCTGCAGCAACGTGACCCTGCCCTTCTGACCATCCTGGGAATGCTGAGGAAGCTCAGGTCAGCCAAGGCAGCCTCCTGCATCATTCCCTGCTTTCTTCTAGACGCCAGCCCTTTAATTTTGTTCAGACAGGGCACGAGTTTCCTCAGGCTACTGGAACAAAGAACCACCAATGGCAGCCAGACAACGGAAGTTTGTTCTCTGCCAGTTCTGGAGGCCCCAGGTCCACAAGTCAGATGTCAGCAGAGTGGCTTCCTTCTGGGTGAGAGAGAGACTCAGGTCCTCTGGCTTCTGCTGGGCTGCTGGCCACGTGGCGCCTGGGGACGTCTCGCCCGTCACACCTCCTCTTCTCACAGCGCTTCTGCGGCTCCCTGTTTATGAGGACACCACTCACAGGGGATTGGGACCCACCCTGATAATCTCATTTTGATTTGATTATCTCTGCAAGGATCCGATCTCCAATGAAGGTCACATTCTGAGGTGCTGGGCAAGGACGTCCATGCAGGGGGCAGAATGTAACTCGGTCATAAAAGAGAGTGTCTTCATGGGGGGCCTGGGCCCATGTCCAGTGCTGGGCTGGGGGATCCCCATCAGTTTGAATCAACCTCCTAGGGACAGGGAAGGTAAGGGGATCGGTCCATTTCTTCTCGTGAGCAGGAAGGGAAGTGTCCTGGCACAAATGGCTTGCTAGGTAAAAGGAGAGGTAGAAAGAAATGCCCTTTCTTCTCTTCCGTAAGCCTTCCTTTTACCTACAGATGCCTGGAGATGGGGCAGCCACCTTGGAGCCATGCGGGCAGCTGGGCCCACACCAGGCATGGCTGTGCAGAAGGTGAGAGGAAAGCAGGGCTTCGCTGCTGTTCTCAGCCCCTGAAGCGGGAACTGGAGCCTCCCTTTCCAAGACTTCAGTTCTAAGGGAGGATGGATTTTCCTTATGGCTTAAGCCGACATGAACTATCCCGCAGTGCGACTGGAACTGTAATCAGGCACGTCCTGGAGGTGGGCAGAAAGAAGGCCTGACAGTTCTCAGACCCCTCCCCACCTGCTGCAGCCCTGCTGTTTCTGGGGTACAGGAGATGGGGCCTGAGTCCGGGAACCCACATGAGTAGGCTTCTGCCAAGGGGCTCAGGCTGGGAGGCCGGGCAGGAGCTGGGAGGATGGGAGGAGGGGCCGCTTCCTCCCAGCCTGCCCCCTCTCAGGTGCTTCCCCTGGGTGGTCTCAGCTGCCTCCGGTCAGTGGCTCTCCCTGTGGGCCCAGTTCTCACTGGACAGCCTACAAGTGGCCACAACTCCCCAGGGGCCTGGCTCTGTGTGGTCTCCCTCCCGGGGCAGGAGCGGCCTCTGCAGTCTCCTGGTTCAGTCCTCTCTGCTGAGCTGGCTGCTCGGGCCCGCAGTGAACCGGGCCGGAGATGCCAAAGGAGAACGGTTTTGTACCTACACGTGCTGGCGACTCTGCCTTCTAAAATCGCCCTGGCCCCTCTGTGGGCACCGATTTGGCCAGGTTGGCGCCACCACGGAAGAGGCCCCCAGGGTGGGACTCTGCCGGAGGACGCCACCTCTGCTGTGCTCACAGCCTCAGTCCTCTCCCTGAGGAAACCTGGGCATGGGCGGGCACCCCTCCGTGTGCGCACAGGTCTCCTTCTTACCCTGGGCATGTGGGGCCACCCTCAATTGACCCCAGCCAACACGCCTGTCCAACGCAGGGCCCTTCTGAGCGGTTCCTAAAGCCTTGGCCTTTGGCCCCATGGTGGCGGACTGTGTGACTGGGTCCTGGTGGGTGAATGTGTCGGGGGCAGGCCATGGCTCCTCAAGGATGGGGGTTTCTTGAGTTCATCTCCTCTTCTTAGGCGTTAGCCGTGCCCTGCCACAGAATAAGCCTCACACACAGAAATGGAGGTGGTGGTCAGAGCACCCCTCGGGGCCCGCATGATTCAGTTCCTTAGCAGCCCCTGCCAAAGGCCCCATCAATAGTCTGAATCAGGCGTGGCAGGGAGGTGGCGCTCATCCTGGCCCTGGGCAGAGCACACACCTCCCAAAGGCCTGGGTTGTGCCACAGAAGGAAGAACTCGGCCAGCTCTGGGACTTCCCAGAGGTGGGGCCCCACGAGGGTGGGGCTCTGGCAGAAATGGGGCAAAGGTGCTGTGACTTGTTGGATCAGAGGGAGTCACCAGGCGCTTGGGAGAAAACAAAAGCAAAGAGGCAGGGTTGTTTATTTATTTTTGTTTTTTTAGCATGGGGCAGAAGGTTAGCACCTCATGGCTCTCGCCAGATCCCTGCTGGTCCCCTGGAACTCGGCCCGGTAGCAGCCATGGAGGACATCCTTGCACACAGGAGCCCCCCACTCCACTGAATGCATAAAGTGACACCTGAGCAAAGGCTGAGTGTCCAGAACCTTCTGTCCTTCCAACTGCACAGCAAGTCCTGTGAGCCCACGCGGCTCCTGCTCAGCAATCCGACTTTCAGGGCAGTTCCTGTCCCAGCCCAGCACGATCAGGTGACTTTTGTGCGCCAGGTACTGGGCTAGAAACCAGACATATGAAAAAATAAACCATGCTCCTGATTCCAAGTGGGAGAGGAGAGGGGAGGGAGGAGGGAGGAGGACGAGGACACCCATCCCGGGTGACCGTGCTGGGAGGGCAGGAGTAGGGCCTTCACAACAGTGTAGGAGACAAGGCTAGGGGGCGACACGGTGGATCCTGAAGGGTACTGCTGGCAGGTGGGACATTCAGATGATTCTGTGGACGGAGGCCAGTGGGGAGGAGTTTTAAATTAACAGCACAGGGGTCAGCTCTGGAGCCTGCTGCCTCTCTGTTGGCTGGATATTAGGTGGCTTTTCTGAATGCTGACACCACCACAATGACTTCCGACAACTGACAAGGCAAGGCTGTGGGAAGCACCATGTGCTGGCAAAATCATCCTCAGGACAGAGAGCTGCCCCCAGGGCCCTGCCAGGCTCCAAGAGACCCTGGCCCAATTCCTGCCATTTGCTGCTGGCCCAGCTCCTTCTGAGTGAGCCATACAAGGGCGGGGGCAAGGTGGGGCCATGATGCAATGACCCTCTGTGTAAAAGCAAACATCCACAACTTCCCTGCACGCACGGGATCTGCTTCCAACAGCTACCTCTGGAGGAGTGCCACTTCTCCAATGATGATGCCACCGTTGCTCAGAGTGAGGAGGGCCTCCCTGGAAGCTGCCTTCCTGTCTCGGGCATATCATTTGGATTATTGGCAAAGTGTCCTGGGTTATGGCACCCTAGTCAAGCCAGATATCATGAACACTACTTCATGGTCAATGCTTCCATGCTTCTGGGAGAAATCTGGTGAGGCAATGTGATCACAGATGTGTAAGCAGGACACAAACTCACCTTCCAAAAAGCTCCCTGTGTCAAATATTTCAATACTGCATAAATGGATACATATATGCATGCTGAGTATTCTCTTACATTATTTCCAGTAAGGGTGACTCCCTAAAACTTTATTCACTATCTACCTTTATAAGTCCTTTCATGTAAATAACAACTAAGAAACAAATAGCACCTCCACCAGACAAGGCCTCATTTTTGGTGGTTAATGGATTTATACAGAGCTCGATTTGTAGAAGTGAGAGATTCTTAGAACAGCAGAATCTTCTGAGAGCCTATGTTTTTATTTAGCTCAACTACCCCCATTTACAGAAAGGGAGCCTGCAATCCCGGGAGGGTGGTAAAGTCTTGGGCTCTGTCATCAGCCAGGTGCTGAGTGTCCTTAAAAAAATCCAGAAACGGTCCCCGGAGAGTGTTTATTGTAAACACTTTAAAATTTACATATATCCAATGTGGTTCTTGATGCTTTCATTCATTTCCTTTTCTGCTTCCCTTGCACCAAGAACAAAGATTTCATGTCCGTATAAGGGGAGATCTAGGCATTTGGCTTCACCCATTTTACAAGGACCTATTGCTGCCCCCCACCCCCAGTGCTGGGGATGAAATTCAAGCCTCTCACATTAGATAAATGTTCTTCCTCTGAGCTATAGCCCCAACCCTTGTTTTTCTCTTGAGAATAGGAAGGAAGAGGGTGAAACCCACTAGATGTACATTGAAAGACAAGAAAGTCGTGCATTTTGACTAAGGCCAGGTTTAGTTACCGCTGATTGATCTACTCAAATCCATGACTCAGTGCTGCTGCCTCTGGATCTGCAGGGCCTCTCCAAGCCACAGCCTGCTTGCAGCTGGTGGGGCCTGCACCCAGGAAGCCCTTGGGCTCCTTCCCTTGCTTCTGTTCCCCACTTGGGTCAGACCGGAAATCAGCAAAGCCTTGCCTCCCCAGGGGACACTGCAGCATGCCAGCAGGAGTTCCAAGATCTGAGTGGCTCGGCACCAGAGGCCAGGGGTGTGGGTAATAAGCCGGGGTGGCTGACGTGTGTAGTGGACAGAGAGGCCACCTGGTTCCCTGACTGAGAGCCTCTATGGTCCAATCAGTGCTTTCAAATCTAAAGTAGACTTTCCATCTTGCCATCCAGCCCTTCCTTCCATACCAGGCTGCCGAAGGGATTCCACATTAGAGATGCCCAGTGCCCTCCTCTGGGAGGAGTCCACTTACAGAGTTGGAATGATTGGCTAAAGGGAGCGCAGACAGAAATCCCTGCACTGCAGGAGACCTTCCCAGTGCCAAGAAAACTGTGTCCCTAGAACAAATGTTTCTTCACAGAGAGGGAGACATGCACTTCCTCATCAAGAACCAATGATGTCCCCTGCAGACTAGGATTTACTAGGATGAGTTCTGGTGGTTAATCCCATCACTCAGGGAAGAATTCAGCTTGCCAAGGGCATAGACAATTCCTCTCTCACACCCTCAGATCCAGGGGACTTGGGACCCGGTGTTTGCTTAAGTTTGATGAGGGTGCCCAAGAGAAAGAGTGTAGTGCCCATCTTATCTTTTACATACAAAGCCTCCTGCTTCCAGCTGTTTTCCCTGTTCTTATTTCCAGGGGAGCTGTCTGCTCCGTGATGGAGTGGATCATTCATTCCTTCATTCATTAAACAAGTATTGACTGACTATGCCCCAGGCTGGTCCCTGGGTACCAAGGAGACTTTTAAAAACCTTATAAAATTTTTCTTCTGTAAAGACCCTTGGGCTATCTGAGGCCCAGAGAAGGGAGATGACTTTAAGACCACGTAGCAAGTTGGATGCAGAGCTGGGCTGGAGCCCTGAGCTCCTCCAGGGTCCTCCTGCAGAAAAATCCTGAAAAAAGGACCTGGCCACATTTTCACTTCTATATCTCCTTACCCACGCCCTAGGGAGGGACTTATCCTGTTGGCTGGATTTTTGTCTTCAAGGGAATGAATGGTAAAAAAGAAAGAAAATAATTGCTCCAAATTCCATCAAGATCAGTCTCTGCCTGGGGCAGCAGCTGAGAGTGGTTAGGGATGTGAGGCAGCTTCCAGGCATGTTTTGGGACTCTCAATTTGCTACGTGGCAGAAGTGGCTTCTGCCTATCTGTAAGACTGCTTAGACATTTTCGATGTTGGGACTTTCTCAAAGCAGGCCCACGGGAAGTGCCCCTAAAAGATTCTAGTTATTTATGAGGTCCATCCAATAGGGTGAAGCATTGGACCACTTGGTGGCTCAGGACCCCCCAAACCTCCTGCTTTACCCCTAACTTCCTTCTTTTGCTTAAGAAGCAGAGCACGCACCTTTGCATGCCACTGCTGCATGCCATCTGGTAGGACACCTCCATGTTCTATCGGCAGGGTGACCTGCCAGCACCTGGGTACTGCTAACAATCTGGTACCCTTGGCACGCCCCTCATGGCTCCTCACCGGTGAGAGGGGGAACTGCACCAGAAACACCGCTAGGTCCCTGCCACAGGGGTGTAAGTGCCGCGCAGCTGAGGCCGGCAGCCCCAGGGCTGGGTCTACGTGGCCCGTGAGCCGGCAGGCGCACTCGATCTTAGCTCGAGCCCGCAATTCCCTTTCTGCCTTAGCGCACGAGACATTAAACGAAAGTGGAAAAACTGTTTTGCATGCGCAGATGCTAAAATTTAGGGACGACCAACCTCTCAATTCAGCGGCGCCTCGGCGCCCCGGCGGCCGCAGGGCACAAGCCTGCGCG